ATGTAAAAACAGTCCTTGCTTATTTTGAAAAAAATAATGAAATCTGCCTAAAAATACAAAAACTAATGTTTTTGTAAAAAAACTGGGCCAAGAAAAAGTTTTGTTTGATTCCTACTGGGAANAACATTGGGTGGAATGGACTCTTCTGACTTCTTATTTCAATATTTATAACCAAGGAAAAAATTTATCGATTAAGCTCAGTCTAAGCTTATTACAAAGGGATTGACAGTACTTTAATTGAAAAAAAAATCGATTTCATCAGCACTTCAATAAGACATCAACATTTTGGAAAGGGTTCAAAGTGTCCATTTAATCCCACCGNAAGAAAAAGTTTTGTTTGATTCCTACTGGGAAATCGAAGTTTTTGAAAAATACATAGAAATAAAAAAGGAAGCCAAGTTAGGAATTTTGAATAAATGGTGATAGTGCACATTCAAGTTTCTATAAGAAAAATAGGTCTCAATGGAATGAGTATTCTAAAAAAATTCTCCATGAAATAAAAAATCNTCGAGATACGCGGTAGTGTATCGGCCAAGAAAAGTTTTGACCGACTGAACAAAACATCAGGTTTGACCGACTAAGGAAAACATCAGGCCGAGGCCACCGCGTATCTATACACGACAGAACTTCCCCCTCCACTACCTCTAAATGATTTACATTCGGTATAATGAAAACGGGACGACAAATCGNCATAGAAATAAAAAAGGAAGCCAAGTTAGGAATTTTGAATAAATGGTGATAGTGCACATTCAAGTTTCTATAAGAAAAATAGGTCTCAATGGAATGAGTATTCTAAAAAAATTCTCCATGAAATAAAAAATCAGTAGGAGCAGGACCAACGTTTTCGGCGCGGGGTTTTTCAATTCACTATCTGTATCAATCTATTCCTCCATCCTTTGATCCGCGCCAAGCACGTTGGTCCTGCTCCTACTGATTTTTTATTTCATGGANCATGGTATAAATCGCCTATGAGCTTTTCAACGGTGTAACTATGATATTTTTTGGATTGACAGTAAAAAAGATAGGCGCATAGCAACGAGTTGATATTCACATTCTCGCGATTCACATTATAAAGTGTGAGAATCNAAAAAATTCTCCATGAAATAAAAAATCAGTAGGAGCAGGACCAACGTTTTCGGCGCGGGGTTTTTCAATTCACTATCTGTATCAATCTATTCCTCCATCCTTTGATCCGCGCCAAGCACGTTGGTCCTGCTCCTACTGATTTTTTATTTCATGGAGAATTTCTTTAGAATACTTATTCCATTGAGAAGTATTTTTCCTATAGAAACCTGAATGTGCACTATCACCATTTATTCAAAACTTCTAACTTAGCTTCCTTTTTTATTCCTATGTATTTTTCAAAAACTTCGATTTTCCAGTAGGAATCAAACAAAACTTTTTCTTGGCCCAGTTTTCTTACAAAATTCAACTATTCACGGACATTTAATACTTGATCACACAATATTTTCGACACATCTCCCTTTTGTCACATTCCAAACATAAACCGATAACCTCACAAACAGTGCATAAACTACCTTTATGTCTGAAGTCCGCATATGAATATAGTTATGGCGGGATGAAATTCGAATTTTCGACGAGAGAAAACAAAATAGGACACCGAGTCGATTTTCCGTTTCATTCTAATAAGTGATTTAACGTGAAGAAAAATATTTTCTGAGGTTCTCCATAACAACATCACAACCCACATTCAAATGCACTGGTGGCAACACTTCAACGTTGGATATGAAGCTCAGTTGGCCGGCGCTGCCAACGTTACAACTTGATTTTCACACTTGATTATGCGAATCGCGAGAATGTGAAAAGCAACTCGTTGCTATGCGCCTATCTTTTTTAGTGTTAATCCAAAAAATATCATAGTTACACCGTTGAAAAGCTCATAGGCGATTTATATAATGTAACTAACGACACTTTCCCGATTTGTCGTCCCGTTTTCATTATACCGAATGTAAATCATTTAGAGGTAGTAGAAGGGGAAGTTCTGTCGTGTATAGATACGCGGTGCTCTCGGCCTGATGTTTTGCTCAGTCGGTCAAAACTTTTCTTGGCCGATACGCTACCGCGTATCTCGATTATCCTATCTTGCTCCGTTGTTCAATTCACTCCACTCTCCAATTCATCCTCTGTTCTATATTACTACTTGCTCCATACTGTCTACTTAATTAATAATTAATGAGTGAATAATTCGTTTTAACAATAATTCGTTTTAACATATTTCCCAGTCCCGAAAATTTCAAGCCCCGATCTTTCAATGAGAAGCTCGAATCTCTACCGTACTGGTAATGACTCAAACAGACTGGAATCTTTCACCAACGATTCTCCAAGATGCGGACCCGGTTACAGGAGATCCAGGCAGACTGATTTCTGTCTCCCATAGTCTTGGAGAGATCAAAGGAGCTGAAAATTGTTATCCTGGGCACACTTGGACCGTTTTTCCAGTACTGCATGTACCACAATGTAGGTAGAATTGAAAAGAGTGACTTGAGTCCAGGAGGCAAAATGATTTTAGTTGACTCGTATTGAAACATCTCCTTAATTCACCCTACATTTACCTCCCCATCAAACACGATCTGTACGAAAATTTCTGCATCTCCTTTAGACTCCGAGATATTTTCAAAACACTAATTTTTTGGGAGGAATAAATTTAGTTTTTCCCTTCATTTCAAATCTGAATTCTTCAGAGCCCCAAAAATAAAAATCAATGTTGATCAGGAAATTTTCCAAACTTTACAGTGTAAAAAACTAAAAAAAGTGAGACGATCGCAAATGAACGTTTGATACTTTCTTCTTACGTTTTCCATGCCAGAATACATAGATACACAAAAATCTTCATTCTTCCCGGAAAGTTGAAGAAGTCTACAGGTTCTAATGTTCTTTTTGTTGTTTATGGGAGCGCACAATAAGAATTAGAAAAAAATTACAAGAAAAAAGAATAATCTGCTATATCTCCGCCAATAATTGAGTAAGACAGCCGGGGTTGCGTTCATTTTTTTTTTACTCTACTTTTCTTCAAGAAATAAGAAAAAAAAACTCTTTAAATTTGGAGGCAATTTTTCATATGCAGACTTGACCGATTCGGGCATGTATAAGACTATGAAATGTTGACCCTTCAAAGTATCAGAAATTCGATTGATGACAAGAGCTTTCAATAACTTTCTTGTGAACAGACTTTCGAAAGTTTATTATTGTTCAATTTTCGTAGCAGGTATCTTTCTTCTATTAGAAGAATAATGATTGAAATAATCAAAAAGAAACTTACTCTGTTTGGTGGTTTTGGAGGTCCTTCAGGGTGGTCACCATCAGAGGGACCATGTTGAGCCTCGACGAGCTGAAAATAACATTGTTTTTCGTTGGAAAGTGATGCGTTGGTTATAGAGGGAAAAAAGTATTAAAAAGTAATTTTACGGATATAGTATTAATTTTCGAAAAACCGCAGTTCTACAACTGAACGAGTGAGAAAATCCTTCACTCTAGTGATTTTGTGAACAATTTTACTGACAATAATCCTGAGCATTAGTTAGAAAAGTTCTGAGTTTTAGGAGCATATATATTAATTTTTTAACAATGGTTCACTAGAATTTAGCAGCATTTTTCCTTAATTCAAACGATTAGTTCGGTGAAAATCAGTACCTGTGCTTTCTAGAATTGAGTTATTTCATACAAAGAAGGTAAAATAATAACACAACATGAACACAACACACATCACCATCTTTCGGTATCAATCACTTCAAAACAGAACTTACGAATTGAAAAGAAATAAATATATCGTTAGCTGTATAGAAGACTAACATAAGTGCCAAAAAATGTCCTCATGCCAGAAGTTTTGAGTTTTTAATTCCAATTTCCATATTTGTTTTTTGTTTCTCTTTTTCTATTGAATTCTCGCATTTTGACACTTACGTTACTTTTCTATACAGCTAACGATATATTATAAAGGCCAGTATGAATATCTTGTATGAAATTTTAAACAATAAGGATGATTCATTTTTCTATGGACTGACCCCCTTCACTATTCTTCTATTATTCTATTCTCCTATTCTTTTTTAATGAAAACTAAATTATCGGATTTCGCATTAAAAATTTCAACCACTTGTCACTAAGATTAAGTGACATATTAATCCTGAATCTGAGCGATTTTATCACCAAATTACAGTGATGAAAACTCGCAATCCTAAGGGTAATCTTGGTCAATGTCAAGTATTCAAACAACTAGAAAGAAATCTCTAAAAATTACAACTTTTCCTCCTCTGTGTTCTAACTAGGTAACACGATCCAGCTCAATACTTCTGATAAGGTTCAAATATTCCCTTGTACCATAGCAACCGTGAACAGATTTTATCACCAGCAATTTCCTATATATATCTGAGTATAGTCAATACTTTGCGAAAAATTCTACATCCACTCTTTATTTCCCATTTTTCTGAAAATTATCGGTAAATATCCATTCATATTGCCTTCTTTGTTAGTTACGAAATGGTACGCTCCATTATTTCAATTGAGGAAACTGGAAACGTCTTGGAAGAAGAAATCAGAATTAACCATGGACATTTAGCGTTTCGAATGATTAAGTCATACAAACAAACACTAACTCCAATTTTGTATTAAGCACCTTCCAGGGAATCTGTGATGTAGATCCGAGGATTCTCTATTATGTAATGAATTGATTAAATAACGTCAGAAAAATTTGAAAACAGTCATAGGAGAAGTCGTGGCAAATTTGAATGTTTCATGATTTTCTCTAATTATCGATAACTTTGTTTATAAACGAAAATATTGGAATTTGCAGATCAGAATTCTTGAGATTTAATTACCGTCGACGACAATCAAGTGACCATGTGTATAAGTTTGACCTGGGCCAACCTCATTTTCACATCACATTGTTCTCACATAAGTTTGTCAAAAAAAGGAAATAGTCGATGGTGAAAAACGAAGGGAATATTTCAATGACGACGGAATAAAATTAAATAAAAATTAAAAACACCCAAAAGGAAAATCATAAATTGATAAATTTAAAAAGAGCAACATGAAAGAAAAAAAATAAAAATGGACACGGGAATAAAGAAGAAATGAAAACTGGAGAAAAGAAATGAACAAAAACTGAGAACTAAAAGCCATACCAGATCGCGACTATATATCGTTAATTACGAATTGCTGGTATGTGAGAACAAATTTGAGGGATCACTCTCAAACTTCGCTTTTCCGTTCTTTCCTCCAGCTATGCATAGTTATCAAGATAGAGTCCATGTTCTCCTGACTTCAGTAACTTGTAATTTATAGAAGTTCAGTCTATTTTGCCCTTTTTAAATTGGTCAGTTCCCAAATTCTCATAGACTGTTTCAATTTTCAATCTTTCCTTCTGAAGATTTTTACGGTTCAAAATATCTGTATCTCAAGAATGAAAAATAAATATTGGTTGGACATATCCAGCAAACTCATTAATGATTCATGATATTAAATCGCTGTAAACTCTGAATAGGAATGAATGGATTCTGCATTTCTCATACAAATATACTACACTTATTAAAATACAACGAGAACTTTTTTCTAATCCTATGACGAAAACATAATGATTGGGAATAATAGTCATTTTTTGATCATTCCTGCAATAGAAAATAGTATATTTCGTTACGAGTGCGGAAAAGTGTTTTTCATCACGCTGTGACGAAAAGTGAACTTTTCGGCACGCTCCGCGTGCTTAAAAGTCTAATTTCCGCCACATTGTGATGAAAAATATTGTTCGTAACTCGTGAAAAAATGTTTTTTGCACTCGTTACGAAATATACTATTCTAAATTTTTTTTAGATTTCTTAAATTTATTTTTGCATTTGCTCGCTAAATTTTAGTGGCGCATATCTGATGAACTTGCATAAAATTGCTTTCAATTTTCATTCCAACTACTCCATTACTGAACTGTGTGTTCATGATTCAATCAACGCTATCAATATATTAGATGAAAAAAAAAAAAACTCACCAGTAAGGTGCAAAGGCACACGATGAATACAGCTTTGATCATCCTACTAGTTCACTCCAGTTCACCAAGAAGAGTAATGCAGCCCCTCAATGATTGCGGAAACATATTTATACAACACATACACACTAATTTGTTTATATCGTGCACATAACGGGTGTACCCTTCCCAAAGTAACCAGAACAATTAAAAAATCATAAAATTTAGATGACAGAAGGTGGAAAAATACAATGTCAGATTATATGACCAGGAAATGATAAAATCTGAGTACAAATGACAATACACGACGACACAAAATTATGTTATCCAATAACTCAGTGTAATTAAAGGTGTTTTTATGAATCGGAGGAGCATCGGAGGTAGATAATTATAAGTTTCCTGCTCGATTTTTTAACATTGTGATTAACATTTTTTTATATTACCTTGAACGTATGGCGGTTTATGTTACCTCTTCCTGAAATCTGGAATTAAATTTTAATTGGGACTCTAAGATTTTTCTGAGGTAAATATGAATTGTGGCTCGAAAAGGATTATTTCTTCTGAAAAGTTATTTACTGTGAAAATAATAGCGCTTGTCTTGGCGCAATTTTTTTCTAACTTATCTGCGTCTGTTTCTTCGAAATGAATTTTTTTGTTTCGGATTTTGACGTGTTTCTTGAAGACTGAAATAACCTCCAACCCCTTACCCCAGCCCCCCTTCCCTGATAGGGTTCAATTGTTTTATCGAAATTTCAATTCCCAAGAAACACGTCGAAATTGAAAATAAAAAAAGTCGTTTCAAAGAAACACGCGGATAAGGAGAAAAAATACGTGTCAAGAAAAGCGCTATAAGTATAGAATTGGAATGCTTGTTAAAGAACTGATGCATAAATCGTATAAATATTTCTATAATTGAAGGAGAGTAATTCATACAAATTATCCCATGAGGTCAGAATATATTGACGATTGGAGAGTATCTGCTTTGATCTCCTTCTCCGTTACCTTGATCGATACCGTTACTGGTGAAAATTCATGAAATTCCATGCATCTCTTATCGAAAATTTCTCCAATAGAATTTCATTATACATACATTCAGATATTTCTTAACAATGTAGTTGCACAACTTTTACATAATTGTGCTGATACGAAATTTTGACATTTGTATTTTGAATAATTGAATATAATACTCCCGTTGCAAACCGACTAATTTTTTTTTCTTTTTCGCTTTCGAATGGAAATCCTATATTTGAATAATTTTTTTATTTTATAATTTTGATTGCAAATGGTCTAGAATGTTATGAAACGTGAAGAAATGATAAGTGTAGGATTGTCTATATTTATATATAGGGGTGACCGTTGGGGCACAAGTTTGGGAATTTTTCATCTGACGCCCCCTTAAAAGATTAAAAACCTTTGGGTCTCAAATCGGTTCGAAAATTGTTCTGATGATACTCCGAGGCTATATGAGTATCGTACCAAATTTTTGTTTCGCCTGTTCAAATCGTTATATTGTTCTCAATTTTTGAAATTTCGCTTTTTTTATTTCAGCGGGCATTTTTTAGAGTTGAATTTAGATTTTGGAAAACATAATATGAGTAATTTATTTTTATTTTTCAATGAAGAATGGCGATAAAATATAAATTTATATATAAACTATGTTTTTCATGGTTTAAGTATTCAAAAAGTTGATTTTCTAAAAAATCCTATTTTTTAATTTGATGAAATTTTCAGTGATTATTCTTTCCAGTCTTACAAAAATTTTCGGGCATGAGAAAATTTTGCATCTCAAAGGAGATTTTTTACGATTTTTTGAAGATTGCAATTCGTAAAAAAAATTATATTTTTTCATTCATCATGCAGCACAGTGGAAAATATAAAAAAAACATCATTATTACAATTATAATCATAATGTTATAATGGAATTGGTCTTTTCATCATGAAGCAACTGAGCGACTGTGGTGGCTGACCGATGAGAGCGCAAGATTATCACGCTGTGGACGTGGGTTCGATTCCATCACCAGGTTGTAAAAATTGTAACGTTCTGATTCTTACAGTGTCAAAGTCTCGTAAAGGACAACTGTTCCTGATCAAGTATTTGTCTCAATCGAGGAATGGAGGAAAATTCGGGGAATGCGATACCGAAGGTTGGGGGGTGGGAAGAAGAGACAAATCGTGATAACTCGGAAGGGGAGAGGTATGCATCAGAAATTAAAATTAAAATAGAAACGAACAATGTTCGTACTTTTTGGTACGGTTCGACTCAGAAAATTGAAAATTGATGAGTCCTTCAAAGGATTCTCTGCCCATCCCCTCCCCCCTTCGGTTGCATACGTACTGTTTAGTCTCCTGATGTATGAAGGTCAATTATTCAGTATAATTTTTTGCATCAAAACTGCTCATTAAGCACATTTCACGAGTGATCATGCGGCTTCAAAATTTCAACCATTCCCCCCTTATCAGTGGCAAAGAAAGGAAGTTTGTCCAAATTTTTAGACCTTAAGGAACTTCCGCAGTAAATTTTGGGGCTATGGAGTGGGAGAAAATATCAAAGATTCCGACACTCAGCTGCATCCTTTGAAAAAAAAATAATGAAATGACGATAAGTTCACGGGTGTATTGAAATTTCGTCAGTCAGGTCTCTTTTCACTTATTATTCATGATTAATCAATTCCAAATGAGTTTTATTCCAAAATATTATTTATTCGAATTTTTTAACAAATAAAAATTTTCATGAGAGATTGGACAACCTGAAATTTGAACTAAATTGAATTTTGAATGACAACCAATAGAAATCTGTTTTAGTTCAGCCATTTCAAAATTCTATTTCTGGAAAAAGATGGGAGAAAAACTCACAAACTTTTGTTAATTTTTTTCGAAGTTTTAAAACACATCTAGAGGTCAGCACGACACGTTTGAAGTTTCTGTAATATATCTGACCTACTGGCAGTCAACGGTCATAAAACGTGGGTAGAAGTTCATTTTTCTCAATGACCGTTTAGGGTCAGGTAGTGACAATAGCCGTGACTAAGACTTGTATAAGTACATCTTTGCTGCTCCCATAGCAAGCGCTTGCTGTGATGCAACAGAGAGTGTACTATTCAAGTCCCTGCAAGTAAGACGAAGACGTTTACAATTGTGCCTCCAGGGCAGAGCGCATCGATAAGTAAATGCTCATAACTCGATCGGCATGAGTCGTAGAAGCATAAAACAAAAAGAATTTATTTTCCGTGGAATTACCTAATTTTTTAACAATATATGTCTCGATAAGTTATTCATAGTTTTTGAGATATTACCATTGTCAGCGGCTCTTCGAACAGATTTTCGTTCATTAATAAGGAAAACTCCTCGCTTGTCGGTCACATTTCATTTATATGCTATTCTGAGCATTAAGGGGTAACGGAGCCGACCACAAAAAGACGTTTACCAAAAACGAGTTTTCTTGGATTCTATGCAATGAGAATCAATGAAACTTTTTCCCCGTATTGAGAGTAGCGGAACGCATCGCTCTCTTCTCATGCTTTTCTTATTTATGCAAAAAAAATTGCAAATTATTCAACGGCAAGGACCAGGGCAAGGCCGACGCCATTTTATTTGTAGGAATCTGTTAAGTCATGGTAGAAAAACGATTTTTTGTAGATTTTTCTTAGCCAATGGCTATTTTCATGAGAAAAGAGTGTAATGTCCAAAAATTTTATACTAGGAATTTAAGACCAGAATAAATTTTATGTAAGATTATAATTATAAGTTATATTATAATTTCAGGCAATTAAGAACCGAATCCACAATTGTAAATTAAACTGAGTGCATTTCATCACCTGGACTCAATTAAAAATTCCAAAGACACCAGAATCGAGTTCAAAAGTGATGAAATGGCACACTCAACATGCCCCAATTACTCAATACTAAGATTCGCACGCGAAAGAACGATTGAAAACCGATTAATTAAGACCCCAAAAACCGAATGAACTACTTCCCCATGAAAATCAAAAGAGTGGGAAAAGTCATACGACATTTTCCACCAATTAAAAATGGACTCGTTGGAGCCCATGTGACAAGTGACCCCAAAACTCATATAAAAATGTCAGAAAAATCAAAATTATACAGTCTTGAAGCAGCGACGGAGCAGTAACAATTCTGGTGGAAATAGTTCATTTAATCGGTCCGGTGTTTCAATCCTTCCTTCGATTACGTGGGCTAGTGCTGAATTAATAATAAGTTACGAACAATTGAAATTATCCGGGAATAAAATTTCTTTAACCGAGAGTGGTGACTTTTCTTGCAAATAAGGAATTCGTTTATTGTAACGCGTTGTGGACAGTCTCAACCAAACTCTTAAAACCCTTCAACTTCAACTGCCAAAAATTCATTAAAATATCAACGAGTAGAAGAAAGTGTTTCCGTGAAAGTATCCATAATAGCTTTTAGCGCGACTAATTGCTNCATTAAAATATCAACGAGTAGAAGAAATTGTTTCCGTGAAAGTATCCATAATAGCCTTTAGCGCGACTAATTGCTGGTGAGGAAATTACGGATTTACCCAGGGATCTACAAATACATCGAATAATTTATAACTAACACCGAATTGTGAGTAACAAAATTTGGAAACCCAAATTTGAATCCTTCAGATCATTCCAGGGACAGGAATTTTAGCTACCTAGATTTCTGTAAAATCACGCTCATGTTTTTGTAAACCGAGTAGTTATACAAAATATATTTAAATTCAAATTTGATTCCCACTACAACTCCAAATGTCTTGATTAGAAATTCGTCTCAACTGAAGTCCTATCCTTAAATCAAGCCCTTTTTCCCTTATATTTTAAAAAAAGGTAAGAGCATAAAACTTTGCGTCGTCCGATAATTATAAAATTCAATAATTTTAGCTTTGATTTTAATGTGACAATTAAAACATGTCCATTCGACGCTAAAATCCTTCTCTGGACATAACAAGAGCGATCGAGGGAGGTCCAAGGCAGAGATTTTGAGTACAAAAATGCACTTTTGTTGCGTAATTTTCGTAAAAACTTGTTTATGATGATTGGGTGGTATCCAGGAGGTAACGTGAGGGAAATACTTTTACGAGTCAGAAGATGATGTAGAATGTTTCCATACCATTATTATTTATTTATATCCAC